TTTCCCTGAAATCAAAGTGCCTCGATGACCACCATAACCAGCAACAAAGCATCCCCAAGTCCACCATCGCTGGGATCCTCCTCTTCTAGTGGAGTCAGTGCCTCAAAATTATTTGCCATCGACATCGATTATTCCTTGAAAAAAAAATCTGTGATGCGAATCTGAGCATGTTTCATCATATTGTTGCTTTTGCGGTTGTTGGATGAAGAGAGAAGAAGAAAGTTGATGGCAAAAAGGGAAGGGCATGAAACGAAAGAAAAAACCCAGAACACCATATTACAACAACTAAGCACATGATAGAATTAAGAGTAAGGAAACAATTACACTGTTAAGATCTACAGCAACATGAGTCTGTGTTTGCAGTGAATCCCTGATTTTTTTAAATTTAATTCAATCTAAAATAAATAGAATTTAGTAGCTAGAGTGCCCTTAAGATCACTATATCTATCAGTCATTCAATTCTTTTGTTACAAAGTCCTCAGGGATCAAAGCAGACATAAAAGAACCCCGACACTATAGCTCCTAAACCACAATAAAGCTTTCGTTATTTGTAGTAAAGCGCAGGGATGATAATTTAACCTGAAGCAATCTAAGCGGATCAGATGAGATTTTTTATAATCACATTACTCAATGGGTAATAAATAAGGATATTGTGAATACTGATCCGTGACAAGCAAGCTCTCTCTCTCTGTGGGTGGATAACATATTATTTGTCTGATTATTTTTTTTAGATGAGGTCGAGTGTATTTGACAGTATAATAGTGATTGTTTTTCAAATAATTTTTTATATTGAAATATATACCAATGACTTTTTTATTTTTTAAAAATTAACAAAAATAAAATTTTTAAATTTTTTTTTGAGAATACAGGTTTAATCGTGTTCCCAAACACTGCCACCATCCAGTTGACATACGACGTTTCATCCACTACAATTTTTTCTAATTACCCTGGTGACTACAAAATTGAAGTTAAAGTTTTAAACTTTAAAAATTTAATTTAATTTTTATTTTTATTTGAAAACACCTAAAATACATTATAAAAACCTAAATAAATTTATATTTAACTTCAAAACACATATTTTGAACCTCAAAATACTCTTTAATCAATATTAAAACTGAAAATCTAACCAAAAATAAGACATGACTACATAGCTTACGAGGATGAAATTGAAAAGAAGAAAAGTTTATTGAACAAAGTGATAAAAGCTAAAAATTCAGGGACCAAGAAAGGAATAGATGCCAAATAAATAGTGTTATGAATATTGAAATGTGAAATAATGATCAGTTGAAACACGGTGAAACACTACACTTGTATATTATTAATATTAATGTACCTATCAGGTTGTGGCTCTGTTGGGGCAACTCTCCTTCCTTTGAATTTCGGTTCGAGTCCCAGTGATAGTGGGGCTGGAGAGTTGTTCCCTTCGTGTCTCTACTAGGTCCTCTCTATATGGTTCGTCTGTCACCCCCACGGTGCCTTACCTGTTCACTAGGCTTACAGGATGTTCCGTGAGCCGTGGGATTAGTCGTGGTACGCGCAAGCTGACCCGGACACCCACGTTAATAAAAAAAATATATTAATATTAATGTCAATACTTGTATATTATTAATAATAATACAATACTTACCTGCGGATTGTAGACCTCGTTGGTTATATTTTAACAATGAAATGCCTAACAAAGTCGAGTTGGCCTAACAATGACTGCATATTTTTTTAGAACCCGTTTAATAATATAGTTGTGATTATTTTTTAATGTATTTTTAATTTAAAAATATATTAATTTTTTTTTTAATATTAACATATCAAAATAATTTAAAAATATTCAAAAAATATTAATTTTTTAAAAAAAATTCAAGTTTTTTAAAATACTTTTAAAATCTAAAAATAAACAAGGGAATATAAAATATGTAGTGTTAATGCAAGCACGCAAAGGTATTGTTTATTAAGAAAGAATCTTAATTTGTGTTTGGTCTTACAATATTTTTTTCAATTATAATTTTTTTAAAATAAGAATTTTTAAAAATATTTTTAATTGTAATTTAAAAAAATACTTTAAAACATATGAGTTTGGTTATAGAAAACTGAAATAAAATTATATATAAAGGCTAATAAAAAATATAATAATATAGTAATGATTGTATTTCAAAATGTTTTTTATCTATAAATACATCGAAATAATTTTTTATATCAGTAAATCAAAGTAATATAAAAATATAAAAAAATTAATTTAAATTAAATAAAAAAATAAAAATAAAATCTTAAATATTTTTAAAATACAAAAACAAAAATCCTAAATAAAAATATTTTTTCCATATATAATTAAAAAAAAAACATAATTTATCACCATACCAACCCGTGTCGTAATCTGCATGCTACCATCTGTTCGGGCGAATCCCCGGGGATTATGTACGTGCTGGCCAGTGGGCCCAGGTCACACTGGGAATAAAAAACAAATACAAAATCGTGCATGTATGTATATTGAAGTACTTAAACAGCGAGAGATACGTGTACGAACAGCGATAAGGACAGCAACCGTAACGAGCAATGAGAAGCCACGTGTAAGAAACGTGTCAAGAGAATAATGTGTATGCAAAAGAGCACATGGACTGGAACGGGCTTAGCTCCCAGGCCTCATAAATCATATAAATGCCCCTCTTTTTTCCTGGTAGTGATACATAGAAACATTCGGGTCCCACTTTCCCCTCCAGCAGGCTAGCGCCAACGTTAGTCTATCTTCCCTTCCCTTGAGCCCGATGGCCGTGCAGGTTTTCTCAATGCTGACTTTGGTAGAACAGTGAAGATCTACAGCTGGTGTTTAAGAAAGAAAAATCCTCTACTCTTCTACCATTCTCAGCAAGGTGAAGATATACTCTTCTACCATTTCTTGTAATAAATAAATACATATATATATATATATATTTTAGTTTTTATATATAGTGTTTTGCAGTGTATTGTCAATTCGTTTGCGGGGGTAAATAGGATTTAATATTTAATTAGAGACTCCACGTTTCTTTACCCTTCCTCCGTCACGCATTCTGGAAAAGGACGCGTGCGTGTGCAATATTCATTTCTATTTTTGGGTTTTAATTTTTTTTTGAAAAAGATTAATATTTTTATTTTAAATTAACTTTTTTAGTGTTAATGTTAAAAATAATTTTTTAAAAAATAAAAAATATTATTTTAATATATTTATAAATGAAAAATACTTCAAATTAAAAACAAATGCTATCATATAATTTTCTCAATAATGTGATTCTTGTTTTCCTTGTTATATTACTATATATTGAGTGTTACCATAAGCATCGAGAGATTATTATATATAAATATATATACTTGCATCCAACTGAGGATCGAGAGAGCACACTACTAATTAATATCCAAAAGTTTCTTATATTTTTTTCTTTTTTAATTAATGGGTTTTCTTTTTTTCTTAAGTATTTTACGTTAATAGTTTTCTCATCATAAATTATTTTTTTATTAATAACAATACATTGATAGGAGGGATATTCAAATTAAAAAAAGAAAAGAAAACGTAAACTATATTAAGCAATTAACTCAGTAGCGACGTGTAGACAATGTGCTACTGCGAACATCATACATCATTTAACTAGGACTGGAATCGTGAGTTGACTCGGGTTGGTAGGTTTACTATATGTTAATTGGTATGATATTATTTTAAGAATTTTTTTAAATGCTGAATTAATTTTTTTAAAATTAAATCAAGTTTTAATTTTGGTCAACTCTTACTAGTTTATTATGAAATTTATCTAAGCTACGCTAAATTCTAGATCAACAAATTTACAATTAAATTGCTCAATCCATCTTGTTATTTTATATTATAACTAAAAAGAATTGAATTATTTAAAAAAAAAACAAATCCTATTTCAACTAATCTGATTCTAGATCACCGTTTCAAGCTAAGTTATGAAATCAATAAATTATTGAAGTGACTGAAATCACTTAATGACTAGTTGGGTGGGTTAGAATGATAATCTAAAATTAGGAGTAAGTAAAAAAACTTAAAAATTGAAATAATTAAAAAAAATAATTAAAAAAATTAAATCGTAAAAAAAACTGATTAAACTAATTAAAATTTTAAAAAATTTAATTGATTTGGTTTTATAAATCTAAATTAAAAATTCAAATTAAAATAAAAAACTAAATCAAACTTGAAAAACTAAGCTAAATAATAAAAATAATAAAAAACAAGTCGAACCAGTTTTTGCTCTTAAAAACTGAACAGAACTGAAACAAATCGATTTGAACCGATTTTGATTTTTTTTTTAATTTCAATTTAGTTTCTTCTTTTAATAATAATCAAATCAAACCAAAAATTATCACCCCTATCTAAAATAACTTAAATCACCAGATAACTCGTTGATTAGGTTGGATGATTCGTCTTCAAAATTATGATCCATGTACATCACTTTTGGAATTGAAAATTGCTCAATCCATTTTATATTATGACTTGGAATTATTTTAGAAGGTACCATTTATGCACTTTGGACAATTTTTTCGAAATATTGGAATCCGAAGCATGCCTCTTCCAAGAAGGAAAATTAATTGAATTTCAATTCGATAAATAATAATACTTGTTTTTATTATCCTGTCCTGTTTTGTTCGTTTTATCCGATGACTTTATTCTATTCTGAACAGAGTAAGTACTGAACCACCCTGATCACTAATTATCTGTTAAAATCTTACCCCACCGGTAACGAACACGCGACTCTATTTTCTGAATGAATGGAGATTAGGAGAGTGGTGCTTCATTCAAATGATCCGTGACTTCACCATGTTTTTGTCAGTTCAGCTTGCTAGCTTTCATGTCCTTTTCTTCTCCATGTCTTCAGAGTATCCCAATCCCAAAAGGATAACAACCTCAGCATTCACAGTACTCGAGACTGCGCTAACAATCTTTTCTGACTAGTTCATCTTCAATGTTTACAGAAGTTCGCTTCAACTTCCACTCAGACAGGACACATAGATTTAAGAAGAAAACGATGGTGGTAACAGAATCAGAGTTAAATTCACAAGGTGAGGTCGAGTCGCCATTACAACCGGACCAACAACAAACCAAGAACCATGCATTCTCGTCTCTTGGCAGACAATCCTCTATTTACTCCCTCACATTAGACGAGTTCCAGCATACTCTTTGTGAGAGTGGCAGGAACTTCGGTTCAATGAACATGGACGAGTTTCTTGCCAGTATCTGGACTGCCGAGGAAAATCAAGCCACGGCCACTTCTGCCAACATGAGCGGTAACAATCAAATCATCATTGACAACAATGCAAGCCAGGTTTTGAATGACGCATATGGTCATAGAGGCGTATCTCAGCAACCCAGTTTGTCTAGACAAGAATCACTCTCTTTGCCAGCACCTCTGTGTAGGAAAACAGTGGATGAAGTTTGGTTTGAGATTCATAAAGAGCAGATCAGTGGTACTGAAAATAGAGGTGGCAATGCGCAAAATCCCAAGACTGCCCCTCGTCAGCCGACTTTTGGAGAGATGACCCTAGAGGATTTTCTGATCAAGGCAGGGATTGTGAGGGCAGGATGTACTGCGCCATTTCAGCAACAACAACGTGGGTTGTACGAGAGTAACACCAATAACCGGGCTGCAGCAACAGGTTTCGAGGCTAGACCTATTTTAGGCATGGCTGCGGGGGGTGGGGGTGGTGTTGGTGTTATGCATCAAGGCATAGGAGAGTCATCTGGTAGGAATGGTGGTTATGCTGGGAGAGCAGGGAATGGTGGTGGGTATGGGCAGGGTCATGGAGTACTGGGAATGGTTGCACCACTGAGTCCAGCGTCATCAGATGGAATGGTTACTAATTTTGATAATTCAGGAAATCAGTTTGGGATGGATATAGGGGGGAGGGGACGGAAGAGGATTATTGATGGGCCGGTGGAGAGGGTGGTGGAGAGGAGGCAACGGAGGATGATCAAGAATAGAGAGTCTGCTGCGAGGTCTAGAGCTAGAAAACAGGTACTATTATATGTTTACAACTTCCAAATATTGATAGACTTGGGACATTAATCTACATGTGTCCTTTAAAGATGTATTTCGATTTTGTTGACTGCTAGTTTATGATGCCATAGGGCCTTTTGGATTTCTCCACCAATGTTTTTATAGAACATGCATTTCGATTTGAACATAACGAGGCCCAAAAACAAAGTGGCCATTGAAATTGCTTCTTTCTTGAATGATGTCCGAGTATCTTTGAATTGAATTAATGCGCTAATTATTCTTAACTCATCAATCTCTCAAGTTTTCTTCGCCCTTGTTGTTGATTGTTTTGAATAGTAAATCAAATACTCTTGATCGCTAGAAATTAAGCAATTGGTGTTCTTTCAATTGCATTTTAAGGAATAGCTGAAGTGTAGGTTACCTTACAGGTGCATCTGTCTGCCTGCTAGAAATCTAGGGAGATGATACGGATTTCTTAAGAGCACTTAAATTATCCTGTATTAATCACAGAGGTTTGATTAAATGCTTACACTTCAGTCTTCAACATATACACCATCACATATATTTGTACGTTTTATAATAATTTTGCCTGTCCCACAGGCCTATACAGTTGAACTAGAAGCTGAACTGAATCAATTAAAAGAGGAGAATAAGCAACTTAAACATGATCTGGTATATATTTCTATAATCCTCCTCTTAGTATTAATTTGTATGATTATTTCTCAATGATGTTTCTCTTACTGATCTCATCTGTGAGCAGGCAGAGCTTGAAAGGAAGAGAAAGCAACAGGTATTATGATTACGCATGCCTTTTTTGCGATTCCATTTCGAGTTATGATTAACAATTCCTATCAACAATGCTCCCCTTTCCTTTCATTTTTCGAGATTCATGTGGTAACCTTGAGACTGTTCGTTGGTTCTTGATTTTTATCCCCTAAATCTTAAGTCCAGTATTTTGAGGAATCAAGGATGAAAGCGCGCACGAAGGCCCACAAGACAAAAGAGAAACTGAGGTTGGCGAGAAGGAGCTCGAGCTGTCCGCTGTGATGGCAGGTGAAAGTTTAATCTGCCGGTTTTTCATGAGTATTATTTGTTTTAGATCCTTTTCTTCTTGTTTGTAATCTCATTCTCTGTGTCGTTTTCAGGTTTTCATATCAGAGGGATGTGGCAAGATACAAAACATCGTGCTATGAAGACGTTGAGGGTGATCACAAGCTCAAGGAAAGGATGGGGCATTGGAGAGAGCGGCTCAGTACTACTAGCATGAAATAAGACAATTTCTTCTTCTTCTTCTTCTTTTTTTTTTTTTTTTTTTTTTTTTTTTTTTTTTTTTTTTTTTTTTTTTTTTTTTTAAAAACTATGATCTAAATTTCGTTTGGTTTGTGTATTTTTAGTTGTTTTGTCCCGGTGTCAGCACAAATATGTATTAACAAAAAAAAAAAAAGCAGTTTAGTGAACATAAAAATAACTATAAAAAGGAAGCGGAGAAAGAGTTCATTGCTTGTATTTTTTAAAATTTTCAATATTCTTTTCACCTTTTTTGTTAGTTTTTAGTTTTTATTTTTTAATTTTCCTCTTAAATTTCACTGCTTGTATTTTTTTTTAAAATTTTTAATATTCTTTTCACCTTTTTTTGTTAGTTTTTATTTTTTATTTTTTTCTATTTTAATTTTCTTCTTAAATCTAGAGTTTGAGAGATATTTGAGTTATATAATTTTTAGTTCAAAAATTTTATTTAGAAATGCATTTAAACTAAGACAGTGTTGTTAAAATCATGAAAGATATATTTCAAACATCTTAACTGCATAAGTAAAAAGAAATAAAGCTTTAAAGACAAATGATTACAATACTTAAAGTGCTTCAACAAACAAGTATCATTCTTTATTTTAATTTAATAATATATATTTTTATTATTAGTATGATGCTAGGACTTTGAATTAATATCAATTATAAACTTAGATATTTGTGTTGAAAACATGTTTATAATGAATTATTATTTAACATTCTTATAAATTTAAATTTATGTGAACTCTAATTTTTTTTTAAATTCTTGTTTATATTTAGCGTACCTGGTCATGGCAAACTAGACATTATTACTCACTAATATAGTATATACATGTCTACAAGTTTTGATCTACAATTCTCAAGTCTTTATATATATATATATATATATATATATATATATGTGTGTGTGTGTGTGTGTGTGTATTAAACTTTGTTTAGTTTATCATGTGGGAAAAAAATAATATTAATCATGTATATTTATTTCAATATTATATATTTTAATTTATAATCTTTTGGTTTGCTTATAGCTTTATGTTTTTCTTTTTTATTTAATTTTAAAAGTTTGTTATATATCTTTATTTTAAAGTTATAATTTATTTTCTAAAATTGTAATTCATGCAATTTATTTGAATCTCTCTAAGTTATTGCATGATACATATTTTATGAACTAAGCTTTTATAAACCATCTTTATATTTTTGTTTACTTTATACATGTTACTTGCAAACTTGTTGGGATAATCATGCATTGTCTTTTTTTTTTTAAATATAATATTTTGACATAATACATGTTTAATTTGAACTATGGTAACCAAAAGTGTGTATTATCTTGTATAATTTAAATATTTTTGTTTATTAAGTTGTTTATTTCAAGTTGTTTATTATTTTACTTGCTTGTTGTGGAGCTGAAATATTCAACAAGCCTATCTTGCTGTCTGTTTCCAGGGGCAATAGTGTAACAACTGGGCTTTTAGACCCTAACGTACATACATTTTTAGATGAATAGTCAAATCCAGATGAATCGGGGGGAACTTGATTCAGCAAAGCTGGTTTGAACCGGGGGTAACTTGATTTAGCAGAGCTGGCTGCTTCATAGCCTTCGACCGGCTCGAAAAAAATGGATTAGAGCAGGACCCTTGAACCTAATCCTTTTATAGAAAAATGATTCTTTCTCCTCACATCGACATTTAGGGATGAGCTTGTTGAACCATCGACTCTAGGACTGTCGTGTCCTGCCGCTTTATCACTACCCTAAACGAATAAGTAAGTAAGTAAGATTTTCTCGTTCTGCTATGCCTATATCCATTTTAGGAAATTTTGCTTTTGAAAATGGAATATGCGAGAGTTGGTTTCTCTGACATAAGAGCGAAGGTGTTCGCGGATCTAAGTGGGGAAAGTCTTCCTCGTAACCTCTTTCGTGTTGAACTCTTTTCTCAGTCTCAGGAGGAATAAGATGAATAATCTGCTCTCACGAGCGGAGTCGTAAGAAAACGTTATGATTTTCGGGGTTAGCGGGCTTACCTCGTGGAATGGCCGTTGAATGGCCTCGGAGTGAACTGGGGTACCTCAAATAATAAATAAGACTTCTATCTGTGACATTACCATATGCATGTTGTTCAATTAGGACTTCCTTAAGTCCAGTAGCATGTTGAGAAAGTTCATCGAAAATAGTAGGGCCTTTAACAATCAAGCCCGGGCGCAGTTCAATATGGATTCCTGTAATACAAATTTATCCCAATTTTTGAAATATTTATTTATAAAAATTATTGAATATATATATATATATATATATATATATAATTTAATCGTGTTTTTAACTCCAGAATTGGTTTTTCCAACCATTATAGCTTCATCAAATACTATTTCGGTAGTAACAATTCCACCATCACCTTTTATGGTGTGTAGTGAAAAACCTGAAAGGTTCAAGGAATTAAAATTTAAATGGTAACAACATAAAATGTTAATTTTATGTATTCACCTTGAATTTGGTTAAGTTCTCAGGAGAAAAATGTTAAAGTTGTCAAATAATGAATTTAATTTCATTATTATAATGGCTTTGGACATTTGGAATCATATTGATTTTATACGTTAAAAAAATTATATTTTAAATAAATTAAACAATACATAATATGATGTGTATAGTTCAATTAAAAGTCTAGAAGTCCTTTGAAAAGCTTTTAACAAAAAGTTCAATATTGAAGTTGATGTTACGAAAAGGTTTCTAGTCAATAAATTTCAAGATCTAAGAATAACATCAAAGTTATTTGGTTATATTTGTTCATGTATATAACATTATTCACGTCCATGTTTCTGTTTACATCTATAAAAAGTTAGTGCGTTAAATAGATACAATCTAATAAGTTATGTCTAAGAAGATTGAGTTTTAAGCGAGACTATTTGTGATCTCTCTAATATTTTCTAAGAACTTACTTAGTGAAATTATTATTCACATGATACTATTTTTATATATGATATAATTTATAAATGAAATGATGATAATTGAATAAATCATAATGAAAAAAAAAGGCTTATCAAAACAACCTAAGAAAAGAAATGACTGTTTAAGGTAATATCAATGAGGTTGATTGCTTCGCTAATAAAGTTTTAAAAATAAAAATATTTGTTATTTTTAAAGTCAACTTGATTATACAATCCTGAGTAGTGGTGTATTGATATCGATGCTATAAGACATGTATATGCCAAGAAGAAAATGTTTTCTACTTACAAAGAAGTAGATGGAGAAAATCTATACATGAAGAACTCATTAACCTCCAAGGTAGGGAGTTAAAAAAGGTCATACTAAATACAACATATGAAAAGTTTCTCTCCTTCAATAATGGACTGCATATTGGTAGTATTAGGAAGAGTTTAGTGTTTAGTTTATTGTTGAGCAAAAATAGTTTTAAGATGGTGTTTAAAAGTGATAAGTTTATACTCTTTAAGAGTGATATCTTTATAGATAAAAAGTATCATTGTGATAGCCTTTTTAAAATAAATGTAATGACCATACAATTGATGAGAATAATAATAAGATTATCTCTTCTTTTTATCTGTTTAAGTCTTATGATGTGTGACATGATAGATTAGGTTATCTGAATTATAGTTATATGTAAAGGTTAATAAACTATGAATTATTACTAAGTATATGTGTGAAATTTATGTAGAATCAAAATTCATAAAACTTTATTTTTAAATAATTAAAAAATAGTAAACCTCTAGATTTAATTCACTCAAATATTGATGATTTATTATTTATGTAAACTAGAGGTGAAAAAATAATAATGTATTACTGTTATAAATAATTGTCTAAGGTAATGCTACATTACAGGAATAAAGTTGAAATTCAACTTAATAAAAAGATATATATAATAAAAAATGATGGAGATGAGAATATGAAATACTATTTGGTGAATTTTGTTTTCAAAATGATATATATATATATATAAAGTGATGGAGATGAGAATATGAAACACCATTTTGTAAATTTTGTTTTCAAAATGATATCATCCACCAAATTGTTGCTCCTTATTCAACACAACAAAATAATATTGCGTAATATAAACCAAACATTAAAAGAAATGATGAATATGATGTTATAAGTTTGGGAGTACCTTAGAAATTGTAAGGGGAAGCATTCTAACTACCAATTATATACTTAACAAAATACTTTATAAAAAGTTAGATAAGACGCCATATAAATTATGGAAATATAAAATAGCTTCCTACAAGTACGTTAAAGTATGGAGGTGTCTTGTAAAGATAGCAATATTTGATCTTGAAAAAGTCAAAATAAGACCCAAGACCATGTATTGTGTATTTATCAGATATGCATATAATAATACTGCATATTAATTTCTTATATATAAGTCAATTATTAAGGATATTCATCCTAATACTATTAAGAAATCAAAAAATGTTACATTCTTTAAAAATGTGTTTTCATGAAGGCAAGCAAAAGAAAATCATTTACTTAAAAGAATAATTAATGCTAGCTTAAGTAATCATCATTGATCAGAAGATGATAAAATAGAGTTTAAATATAGTAAAAATAAAAAAAAATAAAACCAAAACATCTGGTCTTGATTTTTAACATGTTTGTTTCAAGATGAACTTTAAATTTACTTTGAGACATACCTTGTTCGAAAACTTTTTATTGGAAGAAAACAATTAATAATAAAATTGAATCCTTTATGAATAATCAGTCATGAAAACTAATAAATCTTTCTCTCGAAAGTAAATCTTAATCCTCTCTTAGTGCACTTAAA